GATGAGCAGGGGCGAATGGTGGGGAAATGTGTGATGGGGCTGGGGGAAGTGTTACGGCATTGATCCAGCGGGAGGGTGTTCCTGCATCACTGGCTGCACACCAGGGTGTGTGTCCTGTCCCCTCCTTGCTGGTGTGGCTGCTGGTGACACTGCGAACCAGGTTTGCTGCGGTGCAGAGCCATGCCGGCACGTGCCCAGGCCACTTCTGCAGAGCATCACTTGTGCCTTGTCTGAAAGGGGTGCGATGGCTTCTGGCTGGAGAGCCCAGGCAGGGTGAGATCTGGGGACATCTCCCCTGTTTCTTGCACAGGGACTCAAGGTGTGCATGCAGAGGGACACGTATTGCTTGATATCTCCGTTGTATTCCCTTGTGCAAGGTAAAACCTGCTTTTTTATTACCTGGTGCATGGCCCGAGCAAACCGGAGGTTTCTCAGTGGCTTCACTGAGCAGTAGCTGCTGGTCTGGGAAGGCTGCAGGTGGGAAAGGTGTGCTGGGGTGGCCAAAAAGAGATACCGGCCTCCTGCTTGGATGGCACAGGGTTGTCTCCACGTTGCTGTGATGTGGCGATGGGGCAGTGGAGCCTTGCTCCCTCCCACGCTGCAGCCCAGCCAAGATCCCGCTCGCATCCCGCCTCCAGCACCGCGATCGGCCCAGGCACCGGGGATGGGGGAAGCTTTTAGCAAACGCTGCAGCTGCTTTTGCAGAGTACTCGAGAGCGCTGCGAATGAGCAGCGCGCTCCTCGGCAGCCACCCTCATGAATATTTTAACTCGGAGAATTAAGATTTGTCAAGAAGCATTTATGGAGGCAGCGGGGATGTCTCTTCCCCAGGCACCGCAGACTTGCTGCTGCTCTGGGGCGGCCGCAGAAGCCGGGATAGAGACGGGACAGAGCCAGCCAGAGCCCCAACCCTTCCCGTGCAACATCGCGGCAGAGCAGGATGGCAGAGCCACGATCTCCCCCTGGAACAGCCGAGCCCCGGTTCCAAGGCAACCATCCTGCCATGCGAGATGGACAAATGGTTGTGGGGTTTTTTTGTTTTTTATTTTTTTCTTTCCCTCCTGGTTCTTGGCAGAAAGTAAAATGTCCCTTTTGTCTGGTTTCCTCCTCCCCCTGCCCCATTGCCTTTCTTTAAAGGTTGTGTTCCAGATTTCATCAACCCACGTTGTGTAATAGCCCTGGAGAATGGCGTGGGCATTGGCCAGCTCCCACCGAGGTCACGGCAAGAGCCGCTCCTCGGGAGCTTCACCACAGGGTTACCTGCTCAGAAAATGTCTTGTGTACAGCTGAGCAAAGCTCTGCTGTAGTTTGGATGGAGCACATGTGTTAGAATTGAGGGGGAAGGCACTTGGAGGAAATTTGGGAATTTTAAAGTCTGTCTAATCCTGCATTTCTGACTCAGCCCTGCACGCCACATGGCAATGAGGGACTCTTGCAGATAAACCCTGCTGCCTTACAGCACCAGACCCTGCGCCTGGGAGTTCATTGCTCGTGGAGCATCCAGCACTGCCTCCTCCTGCCGCAGCACCTGGGTCTCCCCAGTGATGCCCTGCTTGAGATTTCTTCTTTTGGGCTTGTAAGAGGTCCTCAATCTTTCTTTCCCTCTTTTCTGCTGTCCGAGGTGGGGGATGCTGGAGCTGCTGGACTCTGCATCCTAAGAACATCCATCCAGAGGTTCTTGCACCTTGTCCGGAGGCTGCTGAGGTTGTGGACGTGGAGAGCACGGTGTGACTTGTGTCCTGGGACCTGGCAGGGAGAGGAGGAGGAAGAGGAGCACTGTTGGCTTTGTGTAGTACAGAGGGGGACGCTGTGAGCACGCGTGCGTGTAAATACAGGTCTCGTACCAGAGGGGAACGGCAACGCGATGGTTTCTTGGCTGCGGTTCCTCTGCTGATACTGGCAGCGTGAGGAGCTGTGGCTGCTCATATGGTGCAGGCACTGCTTCCCCGTGCCGGCGAGTGGCGGGGGGCTGCTCCAGTCACCAGGCTGGAGGTGGCCAGTGGCACCAAGGAGATGGTGATGGAGCTCGTGATGGTGCCCATAACCGTGTCCTCTGCTGGTGCACTCTGCTGTGCTCCCACTCACCAGACCCAGTCGCGGGGTGGCTGTGTGCTCCATCCCATTGACAACAGCATGGGAAATGGCAAAGGCAGGGCCAGCGCCTGGGGACGGGGCTGTCCCCAAGGCTGGGACCAGCAGAAGCCAGCAGCTGGTGATGGAGCTGAGCCTGAGCATCCCCTCCTGCCTCACCCAGACAGAGAGCATCCCCATGGTCCGATGCTGGTTTTGACCTTCTGTAAAAACATCTGCTCTTCAAAGGGCTGGTTGAAGTCCCATCCTTGTTATTTTTTTTGGTGTCTCTGCTGTATAAGACCTCCCTGCTTTTGCATTTATTTATTCCCTTCCAATGAGTAGGGCCACGCAGTCCTCACCTGGCCTGGGACCAGCGCGGGGACCACCTCTGCTTGTCCGTCCTGGGGATCCCCAGCCCTGAGAAACCCCTCGGTGCAGAACGAGCTGCTCAGAGGCAGGGAAGGGGTCCATGTGTCCTTGTCCCCTGCTGCAGAGCCTCTCCCATCTCCCCTGCTCCCACACAACCACCCCACAGCTTCGGCACGTGAGAACTGTCCCCATTCTCCTGGTTCCTCAGGGAAAGCAGCCGTGCACCATCGGCAACCGCTCCGCTGGGGATCCCCAGCCGGTTTTGGGGTGCTCCCGGGGTGCAGTGCTGCCCGAGCCCCGTCCTTTTCCTCTGTGGGGTTTGTGTTTGTGCACACGCATTCCCACCCTGCGCTGTTTGCGTTTCGCTTTGCTTCAAAGTGCCTGCGCTGCCTCCGAGGAAGGAAAGAAATGGTGTAAAGGAATTTACATCCCGAGCAAGGGAGGCTGCTGGTCCGTCAGGTCTCATCTGCTGCTGAGAGGCGTGGGGGTGCTGTGGGGTGGAGGGTTTGTCCTGGTCCCTGGCTGCAGGTGCAATGGGGGCAGTCCCAGCTTTGCTCGCAGCCCCTCTCCTGGCATCCCGGCTCGGATGGGGACCCACGCATCGGGCTGGGTGAGGTGCTGATGGTCACCTTTGCAAGGAGTCGTGCGCAGCAAAACCACTTCACAGGGCTGGCCCGGCAGTGTGGGAGCCCCAAACTGGCTCCTCCACCCAGCTGGGATCAGGGGTGGGGGAAGCCGCCCTCCACGCTGCCGTCGGGTTGAAGAGGAGGAGAGCAGGCGGGTTTTGCTGGGAGCTGTCTCCTCCTGGGCCAGGTCACTGCCAAATCCCTACGGAGCCTCCCAGGGAGTCGAGGAGTGCCTGTAGTAAGAGGGGCCAAGTGTCCTAGGGTCCCCTCAAGGGACTGAGGGTCCCTTTTGGAGCCACCCTTGGTCCTTTTTCCCCCCATCCCGGTTGCGTTCCCTGTGCAAAAATGCTCCGGGTGTGGAAGGAGGTTGGATGCAGAGCTTGTGGTGCTGGAGGGCTTGGCTGTGCCAAAGATCAGCAAGACAGAAACGTTTCTAAGACTCCGCTTGGAGCAGGAGAAAGTTTTTCCATTGGGTTTTTATAGCTCCCGGAAAGCAGGGTTTTATTTTTGTTGTCTAAGACAAAAAAATCCTCTTAGGAGCTGACTTCTTGGGTCAGCAGGGGGGTGGGTGGCTGTGTGTGCGCTGTGCCGGGGGTCTAGGCTTGACTTTGCTTCCCCTCCATCCTGTGGGGTCTGTGGATGCTGATGCTGGTTTCCACCAAGGAAAAAGGGGGTTTTTGTGTCCCTGATGTCCCTGGTCCCATCGGTGTGGGGGCACTGAAGGCACAGCACCCGTGATGGCTCCGTGCCACCCCTGGGCTGTCCTGGGATGCTCCCACCTTGGGACACAGCCACAGGGAAAGCCCTTTCCCTGGGGAAGGGGGCTGTTTCCCACAGCCACAGACGGGTAAAACCAGGGGATTTGGGGGGATGCACTGAATTTCCTGGGGTCAGAGGCTAGGGCCATCACGCTCTCCCCAGTCACCTCTCCTTTGCTTGGTGCAAGCTGCTTTTTGAGGGGTTTTGCTGGCAGGGGAGCCTGTTTCCATGGTAAAAACCTTATATAGCATCTGCCAAAAATCTGTCTTCCCCTTGGTCTGGCCATCTGGAGGGGACAAGGAGGTTTTGCTGGGATGAGAAGGCGGCAGTGGGCTGCTTTGGGTGTTCCTTCGGTGCTGTTGGGAGCTTGGAGGGGTCCCTCCATCCCATCACTCACACCCCAGGTGCAGGGGGGACTCCAGTGTCAGCCTGATGGGACACAAGCAGGGTGGGGATGGGGGAGACAGGCATCGCTGAGGGGCTGCAGGTGCTGTGCACTGGGAGCGGGTGGCCACGCTGTAATCGGATGAGCCGGTGCCGCTCCAGATGGACCCGTCAGCTCTCGTCAGCACTGACACTCCTCCGGGTATCTCCGCGTCCCCTCGGGCCAGGGGGGCCACCACCTTTCCCAGTCTGCTGTGTCTGCTGGGATCAAGGGAGCTGGGGGGTGCAGACCCCATCAGACAAACCAGGTCCCTTCCATGCTGCGGTCCCTCCCTGGCAAACCCCACGTTTTGTTAACTTTAGTGGGAAAAACCTGGCACGTGTGTCTGTCTGTCCGTCTTTCTGTAGTGCCTGAGCCATCGTGTGCTGAGGGCAGTGTGGCCTTGCTGCTTTGCCCTCGCTGTCCCCAGGTGTCACCCCACCTTGGTGTCCCCGAGCTGCAGCGGAGCAGCCATCCTTCCCTGGGGGTTTGGCGTAGGAGAAGCGTCTTGCTGGCAGCAGTGGACTGGACGGGGCTGGACTGGGCTGGCAGGAGTTGTGCCTGCTGGGCTGTGTCCCCAGAGGTGTGGCACAGGGATTTGCTGACCCACGGATGGGTCTGGGTCCTCGTGAGCAGAGCATCTTGGTGTGTGGGATCCTGGTGTCCCCTGGGAGAGGTTTTAGGGCTCAACTCTGCACTCATCCGCTCTTCTCTCCGTAAACATCGCTCCCTTTTCCTTCCCCCCACAGCCGACAACCCTCCCGCAGGGCACCATCAACATGAACCAGTGCACGGATGTGGTGGACGGGGAGAGCCGCACAGGGCAGAAATTCTCCTTGTGCATCCTGACGCCGGAGAAGGAGCACTTCATCCGTGCCGAGAACAAGGAGATCATCAGCGGGTGAGTGCGGGTCCGGGGCCAAGCTGCTGCGCTTCCCTTAGAGGGGAGGAAGAGGAGGGCGGGTAGGACCTCATCCAGGTCTGGGTGCTGTGGCAGTGCATACCTGGGCTGGTCCCCAAGTGATGGTGACAGCCTGCTGCAGGGACAGTCCTGGGTGCTGGGTGTAGCTGCTGTCTTACAGTCAGCTCTGGTTTTCTCTTTCTGGCAAGGATGGGGTTTCTTTACCCTTCCCCAGTCCCTTGCAGTCACCCAGAACGGGGTCCTGAGCACCCTGAGCCACCAGATTTATGGTGTGAGCACAAGCACCGACTTCAGCAGAGACATGTGTGGTGACGGATGATTTAAGTCCTTCCTCTGCACCCAGTGCACGTGCTCAGCCGTGCCGGGCTGGAGCCTGAGGCTTCCCAACATGCTGGACACCTTTCAGAGCCTGTGCTCCAGGAAGCTCAGCCTCTGCTGGGAGCCTTGGCCAGGTCCTGGAGATGCTCCTGAGTCACTCGTTACTTCCGAAGGCCACTGTTTTCAGGTCAGGTTTGTTGTCTGCAGTTGGGCAATATCCTGCTCCCCGCTGCAGAACAACATTGCCGGCAGCATTTCCCCCGGGAGTGAGCTGAGCTGTGCTGGAGTGCTTGTGGGATGCTCAGAGCGTGCATGTGAGCGTCCTGGGCTGGCCGTGGCAGCTTCACCCCAGCAGAAAGCAGCTATTTACTGTCTGGAGGAAGAAGCTGGGCTGCAGGGTGACCACCAGGACGGTGTGGGAACCAATGGGTGCTGGGGTGACCCCAGGGTGCTTTAGGACAGCATCCAGTCTGGCACCCAGCCCGTTGGTGCAGGTGCTGTCCCCATGCCAGCGGCAGGTCCCCTAATCCTGGGGCTGGTGTGTCCCACCCCAAGCATCGTACGTCCTCTGGTCCTCCCCAGGCAGACGTGGCCTCGCGGGGCTGCCTGCTCTGCCTTCACCCCATCCCCGTGCAGCCTGGTCTTTGGGCAGCCCAGCAGAGGGGGCAGATGCAGCCCATCCCCATGGTCCCTGTGGAGCATCTGACCTCTGAGGACGATTAAAGTATCGTCAGTCCTAGGAATACTTGCCGCTGGGATGCGGTTGCTCAGCAACGCCAAAGATTAGGGCACTAAAATGAGCAAATCGTGGTGGTTTCCTGACTCCAGGTGTTGGATGGTGACCTAGAAATGTCCTCATCCATCACTTGTGCACCGGTTTGGGTTGAAACTGGCACCAGTGAGGGTGTGGAGCCATGGGAGAGCCGAGCTGCCAGCACACAGCGATGGGCTGCGATGGTCCTGCTGCTCACCGGCGAGCGTTTCCCACGTGGGATGTCTGGAGCTTGGTGCCTCTCTCCCAGAATTTGTTGACGTAGGAAACTAGAGCAGAAAGTCGAAGAGATGAAGCACTCGCTCCTTCCCACTCTTCCTGAGACCCAGCAGCAGCAGTCAGTGCTTGCTGTTGAGATTATTTCTATTTCCAATGTTCTCTTTGGTTGTGACTCCCCCGTTTTGGTAAATACTGGTTGAAATAGGCATTTTCCTGCCAAGAGCTTGGGATTTTGATCAGATGTATGTTTTCATGCGGGGAAACCTCCCTGCCCTCCTGAGACACCTGAGCACGCGGTGATTCCCCCTCCATGCACTGCATCGGGCTGGCAGATCCATCCTCCGGCGGGACGACCTCCTCCCTGTCCGTGTGCGCAGAGGTGGGGTTGCGGTGGCTGCGGAGCCGGGGTGCAGAGGCATGGAGGGACCGTGGCACAGGGCAGCCGCCTCCTCTCCCCAAGCCAAGGCGGGAGCGATGGCTGTGCCCCAAAACATGCCAGGCTCCCATGCCCTGCTCCCTTCTCCCTCTCCCCACACTCCGGTTCTCGGGTCAGCCTTTTGTTGCCGGTCCTGCCGGCCGCGTGGGAGGGGAAGGCATTGCAGAGCAAGGTGGGGCTGATTTATTGTTCATTGGCTCAGCGCTGGATTTTAAAACGGCGCATTTGCTCCTGACTGCAAGCATTAATCATCCCGAACCAGTCCTGCTCTGGGGTCCGAGCCAGGCAGGGTTTCATTTGCAGTTGCAGCACGACAGGAAGATTTCCCCGGCCGGGGGAGAATTTTTTTTACGTTTTGTTGCATGCTTCTGGCATTTATTGCTTAAGCAAAACCCACTTGATGTGGTCATCTCCAAACACGTTACAGCAGCAGCGTGCGAAGTGAGGGGAACAGGAGAAGGAAGTAGGAATGGTTCCCAGCGGTCCGTGGGTCCTCGCTGAGTTTGCAGAGATGCAGGGGCAGGTTGTCAGGCTGTGGCGAGAGGGCACGGGAGGGTCCCCCAAAGAAGTGGCTTGTGCAGGGGATGGGCTTCTCAATGCCAAGTTCATGCTGCTCTTTCTCAGACAAAAGCACTTTGTGTGCAGCGTGCGGGCGTTGGCATCGCTGAAGGGGGAAGGTCCTGCCAGAGGCTCTGTCCCTCTCGGCTGTCTTTCGGGATCCTCAAATCCCTGTCCCGTGGCAGCCTTGGCCGTGGCCTTGCTCTTCCAGTGAGCGGGGTTTGAGCCAAGCACCCTGAGGTCATCCCTCCTGCCTCATTTTTCCCCCAGGAGCTGGTTGGGATGATTGCTGGGTCCCATCTGCTGCGTTGACCCTGACCGGGTGGGAGAGGCTGAGCAGCTCTGCGTGCCCAGCCCCAGCTCAGGGTTGTTCCACGTTACCAACCCCAGAAGGCTGGGGTCAGGGACGAAGCACGGATGCTCCGTCTCGGGAGGGAGTGAGCGG